GCACCGGGGAGCTCTCCAGGAAATGGGGGAGTTCCGAAGCCTCGCACCCCCCCCCTTCCAGTCCCCTTAGAGAGGGGGCTGCCGGGGAACGGAATGCTGCCCGTTTGCATCTGCCGCCCCAGTCGGGGCGTGTGGGGAACGAAATTATGGCCCTTTTTTCCCAGTATTTTGACCCCCAAACACCAAGGTTCGACCCATTTTTTTATTGCAAACAGGCCACTGTCATCATTAGTTAAATTTTGCTAATGATGACAGTGCCACAAAAGCTCGGTCACAAAACACTCAAAAGCTCGCTACTGGTGGCCCGGGAGCACCCCATGTACAGATGCTTGGGTGTGAAGTGCGGGCTCTCCACGTCGTAAAGCCAAACCCGCCCTCTCAGGGTCAGCCCCTGAACCGAAGCATACGTAATCGCGCTGCAAAGCCGGGTGTGCTTCGGCAGCTCCGGGCCCGCGAAGAACTGCCCGCTCTCCAAGCGAACGACGTCCCCCTCCACCGCTTCCACGGTCAGGAAGGTGCCCTTCTGCACCTTGCCGCCGGCCCCGATGAGCCGCAGGCCCGGCCAGATGGTCTGCGGCGCATTCGTCGGCACCGCGCCGCGAGCCTCGTACTCCACCAGCAAAGCGTCGGGCGTCGCGAGCCTGCGATTCTACGCGCTTCCGGTGCGCCGCGGATCCGCGGAGCCCAGGGCGTGGTCGACGAGGCGGGCACCGGCCGCACGGCACCGCCGTGAAGCGATGTGGACCATCCACATACGGGTATTTCGTTCGCGCATTCGGCGGCCCAGGGCGGCCGGTCGGGAGGGCTTGTCATTCTGTCATTCTGTCATGGTGGCCGGCGGTCCAGAAAAAGGGTGCAAAAGTAACACAAACTGGGCATGACAGAACATCGTCGTCTGTCATCGCGCCGAAATTCCCGAAAATCAGAGCGTTGCGACGAATTTCGTCCCAAAAGGCATGACAGAACGCCCTCATCCTGTCATGGGGTCCGGCGTGCCAAAAAAACTATGAAAATGAAAGCGAATTCCCGGTCCAGGCGAGCGATGACAGGATGACAGAATGACAGGATGACAGGCCCCCCTCGGGGGGGCCGCCGGTGGCCAGGGCGTGCGTTGCTCGCAGTCGATTTTCGGCTCAAATTTTGTGGATTTTTGCTTGCTTTGCAAATGGGGCCGTTCGCGGCGCCTGGAGCATCCAGAGCATCAGCATCCAGAGCATCAAAACGGGAAGGCGGGGGGCTGGGGCTTGGATCGCGTCCAGCCAGGGGGGTTGTCATTCCGTCATTCTGTCATTCTGTCATGTTTAAAAAAAAAGCAGAAAATAGCACAAATTGGACCCAAGCGGCCTATGACAGAAGGTCGTCGCGCTGTCATGGTGCGCGTGGGCCGAAAAACCAAGGATTTTGCGGCGTGTTTCGCCCCAAGCGGCTTATGACAGAACGCCGTCATGCTGTCATGGGGTGCGGCGTGCCAAAAAACCTATGAAAATGATCGCGAATTCCGCGCCCAGGTGGCCCATGACAGAATGACAGAATGACAAGGCATCCCCCGCGGTGGGGACAATCGGTTTTCAGCGTAGATTTGCTTGTTTTTGTTTGCTTTGCAGATGGGACCGTTCGCGGCGCCCGGAGCAGTCCAGAGCATCAAAACGGAGGGTTGGGACTTGGGTCACGGCCGGCCAGGAGGGGGCTTGTCATGTCATTCTGTCATTCTGTCATGCTGCCCGGCGTTCCGAAAAAAACTGCAAAAGCAACACAAATTGGACCCAGGTGGCCTATGACAGAACTTCGTCGAGCTGTCATGGCGCCCACGCGCCCGAAAAACAAACGAATTTGCGGCGAGTTTCGCCCCAAGCGGCCTATGACAGAACGCCGTCATTCTGTCATGGTGTCCGGAGGTTCAACAAACAAGGAAATTTCAGCGAGATTCGCCCCCCCAGGCGACCTATGACATAATGACAGAATGACAAGGCTCCCACTTGGGCCGCTGGCATCGCCGTAGACTTGCGGGGAGTGGAGGCCAATCCGAGTAGGGCGCTTGTCATTCTGTCACGGCGGCCGGCGTTCCAGAAAAAACAAGGAAATGGGATCGAATTTCGCCCCAAGTGACCTATGATAGAACGTCCTGTCACGGCGCCCGGCGCTCCAAAAAACAATCAAATACCAGCGAGTTTAGCTCCCAAGTGGCCTGTGACAAAAGGTTGTCATTCTGTCATGGTGCCCGGAGGTCCCAAAAAAAGAAATTTCAGCGAGTTTCGCCCTGCCAGGCGACCTATGACATAATGACAGAATGACAAGGCTCCCCCTTGGGCCGCTGGTGGCCACATAAGAGCACCGATACAAAAGTCGATTTTCGGGTCAGATTTGCTTGTTTGTTGGGTGCGTTGTATGTGGCCGTTCGCGGCGCCCGGAGGATCAAGAGCATCAAAAAAACATCAAAACCGGGTGTTAGGGATTAGGGTGCGGGAAGGCAACCAAAAAACTAGACCAACCGGGGGACAACCCCTAGCCCTCTAGCCGGCGAACCCTACACGCACGCCAGAGCGTCGCATCGACAGAATCGATTCGAGAGCATTTGGGCGCGGGAAGGCAAAGCCAACACAATTATAGATCGACATCACAAAAACCGGGACAGCCTTAGCCGGGTGACGCGCAAGGAGACGAACGGAACTGCAGGCGATCTTGAAACCGGCTTTTTGCGATCCCTCGAGGCTTGCATCATTCTTTCGGTATTTTTCCAGGAAGGAGAGCTCAAAAGGGCCACCAGCGTCTTATCAAAACTGCGGCCGCGGCTTCTTCTGCGTGGCGCTCCCACGCAAACCTGTACTTCTCCTCCGTCGTATGCCAAATGACTGGGTGGCAGCCCTCCTGCCTCATCCACTGCGTGACCTTCTTCGGCTCCACGGCCGTTCCGGCACTCAGAGCAGCCACGCCCTGGCCGTCGCCGCCTTTGCGGTTGGCCAACAGGGCTTGGAGAATGTTGGCGCCGGCGGGGGCGATGCTGTACACAGTCTGGAAATTACACTGGTCCAGAAAGCGCAGCACTTCCATGTGGGCCGTGGCCTCCTTCTTCCGCCTCCTCGAGGAAGTCGGGCCGTGTGTAGTGCTCGCAGGCTTTCACCAAGTCCAACGCATTGTATCCGCCTCAGCTAAGCGAGCACAAAACTCCCTCGAGACAAGCGGAGGCGGGGAACATCCGGCCACGAACGCTTCCAGTCCTGCCCGTGGCCCTCCAGCTCCAGCAACTGCTGAGCCTCCTGCTCCGTGAGGTCCTCGACCCAAAAGTTCTCCTGTCCACCGCACTGCGGATGCGGATGCTGAGATCTTCCGAACAAAGTGCAGGCCTGTCGCTGAGAACCTCCCGCATCGAAGGTCATCGCTGTGCCTGCGGAGGAGGCGCAAACGATGACCTCGGCTCATACTTCAATCCTCTGTGAGCCGACCGTGCATGCAACACAGCGCCGGGTCCCCCGCGTGCACAGCAGCACCCAGCCGGTCCCAGGACATCTCCTTCGCAAAATTCGACACCAGCGGCATACCTCGGGCGGGGAAAAAATTGAAGCAAGCTCCAAAAGCTGAGCGGCGCGTCTTCGGTCGTCTCTTGCGGGATGTTCAAAACGAGGATGGGCACCTTGAACGGGGCCTCGGAATCCTTCTACAGCTCCGCGGCAACCCGATTGAAGAGCTTGCTGAGCATGTCCGGCCCATCCAAACTCAGGCGCTTGTAAAGGGTAGACTTCCGCCGGCGTTGTCGATGGTGTGGACGAAGGTGCCTGGAAGGCTACGGAGGGCCTTGTGCACAGCCACGGACTTACCGCAGCCATAGCGGCCGGTAACCACGGTGGCATGCTCCTTGCAGGAGCTGCTGTTGCGGATTCTTGGATGACCTGGCACCAGGCACGACACGTCAAGCGGGCACCAACAACTTCGTTGTCAAGCGCGACGCAAGCTTTGCTCCAAACATTAGCTCCTGCGCCAAAACAACCGAAGTATCTACTACTGCCTTGCAGGTCACCACCTGCTTCTTGTTTGCAGGTCGGCCGCATCATGCGATTTACCGCCTTCTGCACTGTAGACGCCCTTCCGAAGACGCCGCAACGTGGGCGATTGGAAGCCGACACTTCGTTAAAGCGACTCAGCCTTAGCTGTGACGTGGCAAAGTTGGAGCGGGTTGTCAGCAGGTCCGCATAGCGAAGCGCATCATTGGAGTCATGTCTCTGCCGTTGAATCTACTTGCCTGCATTGGACCCGTCGCACACTTCGGCACGGAACGCTTCTCTTAGCGCCTCGCACTTGAGAAGGGGCTTGAGAAGTCCTCCTCCCGGACGCAGGGGGAGAGAGCTGTTGGTTGAAGGGTTGAAGGGAGGTTTGCGAGAACTTCAGACCTTCCAAAGTTCCGTGAGCTGATTTGGAAGACTTCTAAGGGTTCAGAAGATTGAGAGGATTTGGTGTTTCTTATACATTTTTTCATTTCGTGTTTCTCTAAGAATAACATTTTTTGCGTGGAAGCAAGACGTTTGACTTGCATTGAATGGGTTTAAATCACTTTTAACCCATGCCGCCTTGTAGCCCAGAGCTGGCTTTAGAAGGCCTGAAAGTACGCGAAATCCATGCAAAATCTTTTGGAGTTTGCAAGTGCAGCTTCCACAAGAATGATGCTGTGTCCATCTCGAAACTAGAAGTTTGGCGGACGCACAGTTGAGTTTTGCAGTGGCGTGT